AGTCGTTGATATGGGCATCCGGGGTAGCGATGGCTCAAGTAAGATGTTGTTGGTATGGGAAGATCCCTCGTGGGATTTTGGAGGGGGCAGTTTCAGAATGATTAGTAAGGGCATATTTCATGGACGAAATCTAATTTAATTGGGGGAGAATTGTAACACCCGGTTTCTAGAATGGATCAGTGTGGGGCATTAATGAGTCAAAGACATGATTTTTGAAAAAAAAAACCATGGGCCACGACGTGAGGGGTGAGCCTCACAACGTGACATCGGGATGAGGTGCATGTCCATCTTCGTGGCTCACGACGTGACACGTAGGATGCCGCGACATGAGAATGGATTTGCTCTAAACCGGTGTTTTGTTCCTAATTTAAGGGAAGTGTGAGGCTTGGGTTTGAAAACCGTCAGCCTCCATCATCTCCTTCCTGCCCAAATCATTTTAGCCTCCATTGGTGACCTTAAAGAACTCATTTGGTGGTTTTTGGCTCTTTGAAGAAGAAGAAGACACCTTGGGTGCATCCTTTTGGCAATCAAGCTCCTACCTCATCATCTTGCAGTGCTTTTTTACCTTTCTAAGTCATAAAGCTAATGTCTTTATCTCTTATGCATGCAAGATCTATGATTTATTATTTTCTTTTCATGGATGGGTTGCGTAGCATGCATGGGATCCATAAAGTTAGCAACTTTATGGATCATTGAGGCATTTCATCTTAGTATGAGTTCAGATCTGACGTTTGGTGTTGGTTTTAGACTCCAAGCACGAGTCTTGTTTCCATTATCTTGTTATCGACCTAGTTAGTGTTCAAGTCATGCATTGGACATGCATGACTGAAAAGCTATGATTTTTATGGTCCTTAGGGTTGGGGGAGACCCTTTGGAAAGTCTCAAGGAGTAGCTTAAGGGATTAAGTGCTTAATGCTCAAAGTTGTCCAGGATGGATCTCACGACATGAGAATTATCATGTCACATCATGATAATGGTTGCTCGCGACTATTTTGTCCTTTTCCAGTCACGACGTGACCGTTGGCTGAAGTTGACCGTGGTTGACTGTTTGACTATGGTTGACTTTTGGGTCAAGCTAGGGTTTTAAGGATGTAGGCTAAAAGGGTATTTCTTTACTGTTGTTAGGTGTCTTGTTGCTCCTGTCTACCCTGTATGTGAGAGATGTTGTAGTTTTAGCTGCTATTCGCAAGGTGAGCCTTCTCACTATACTTGCCTGTGTGGTACTATATACATGCTGACTAGTTGGGTCTTATTTGTTGATTGTTATTATATGTGAACTGAGTTGCTGATAACTCCTGGATGGCTAATAGTCCCCGGGGTTGCTGATAACCCGTGAGGTGTGTTGTTAATCTACATGGTGTGTTGTTAGCCCATTAGGACTGTTGATAGTCCCCAGGGTTGTTGATAACCCATAGTTGTTTATATTATTGTGTTGTATGTGATATCCAGGACTACTAATAGCCCCAGAGATGTTGATAACCCTTAGCTGATTATTATGATGTGTTGTATGGGGTATTTTGGAGAACTCACTAAGCTTTCTAGTTACAATTGTGGATTAACTATTTTACAAGTACTTACCAGATTGCGAAGGTTGTACACACACATCATCAGCTTATGATTCGAGATTTTGCATTGTCTTCATTATAACTCTAATTTCTAAATAATGGTTTATGGACAAATGGTTTATCCTAAAACGAAATGTTAAGAAATGGATGTCATACTCAAAAATGAAAACTCAAAAATGAAAATTTTAGCCTGAGTAGCTAGGATGTTTCAATTTGTGTACTTGTATTGAATCACCAACATTTATGTAGGAGTTTGAATCAACATGAACATACATCCAACTCCCATCACTTAATGAAATTTTCACACCTCCCAACCATTTAGGTGTCGGAGGTCTTCTCCGGTGACCCTCTACCGGAGGCTGTGTTCCATGTAATCAAAACCACCGGTAATTTTCACCACCATACCACTTGAGTTTGTATTTCAAATTAAAAAAACAAACTAAACCCCAAAACCAAATAAAAAAACAATTTATATCTGATATGTTGGCGGTGACGAATAAGGGGGAGAGGATGAGTGCGTCGGTGGTTATGGTCGCACACGAAAGCAGAATATAGATGACGAATCACATCTCGCCTCCCCTACGAGGAGGTTGGGTTAGCTGGCGGTATGAGGTGTGGGTTGTAGAAAGTAGGTGTGTTCTAGGTGAGAGGGAAATAATGGTGCACGTGAGGAACAAGTAGATAGATGGTGGTTGTAAGAGGTGAAAACTGGCGGTGAACTGGCGGTGACTGGGGCTGACATAATCTTGCAGTGAGGGCGGCGTTGGTGGATTTGCCACCGTTGAGTTGAATCAGATGGATGCATATCCACCTCCAACTTTGGCTCCATGAACGAAAGTTATGGTGGCAGAGTGGAGAGGCGCTAGATGTCGCCTAGGTTTAGTTTCTAGAGGTTTCAACGAGAGGAAGGAGGAGAAGAACAATGGAGAGAACAGAAGGTAAGTGTTGTGTTAAAGAATTATAAAATGTAACAAATAAAAAAGGTCTTAACCACTTTTAAAGTTTTTAAAATTCTTGATTTTAGACATTTCATGCAAGTCGGAATTTAACCACAGTTTTTACTTTTTACAAAACCTTAGAATTCAAAAACCAATTTTACAGTTTTGTCTTAATACTTTGTATACACTCTTTATTTTATTTTACAGTTCGGAGACCAATTTATATCTATTATCTATATATATATATATATA